TTACCCCTATAATAAATGTACTGTTTATTGAGCTAGTGTTTAGGTTTCTGTTAATTATAATCCGAAGGAAGCTTGTCTAGGACAGACAACTTGAACTTTATAATTTGTCCTCTTAAATGTACATTTGTGGGTTTAATTGGGCCGGAACCACAAGGTTCCACACTGTGATTCTCTTTTGCTCTTTCCTGAGAACAATTGTATCGATGTGCATACACCTGATTTTGAGGCCCTACCAGCAAATGCTCTGAGTTCCTTAAGCAAAATTTTCAGAAGAAGATATGTTCATGAAACAAAACCCAACATGGTGGTCCAGGAAATGAGGCCGAGATGATGGACACAATCACTAACCTAAGGATCAAATTCCTCTGACATCTACTGAAAATGTCAGTAAAATTCGGACTGCTCTATTTGTAGCTTCTGATGTATGAAGAAAAATAGCTTATTGAGTGATGAACATATTTTTTCTAACTATCCTTAAAACAATCTATTTTGGTGATAGAACCTTTTATTATACTTATGATAATTCACGGGCATGTGAAATGCTCAGTTCTCCGAAACTATTATGTTCAGCTGTGACCCACAGTCCTTGCCGACCCATTCTCTCCTCTTTCCCTCATGCATACTCATCACTGTGCAAGTTCTTTCACTCTGTGCTCATACACTTCCCGCACCTCTCCATTCATCCCTGTACTTCCTTTAGACTCAGCTCAAATCTCACCTGTTCCATGAAGCCTTGCTCAGAGCCTCCAGTTGCAATCCTTATAATCTTCTTGAAATTCCTTTAGGCCAGCGGTACTCAACTGGGCTCAGTTTTGTCCCTCAGGGATATTTGGTAATGTCTGCAGATATTTTTGGTTGTCACAACTGGAGGGACAGTGCTGCTGGCATTTAGTTGGTAGAAGCGAAGGATGTTGCTAAATATCCTACAATCCATAAAAGAGCCACCCAACAATGTCAATAATGTTAAGAAGCCCTACAGTCTAGCCCAGTGGTTTGCGAGCCACATGCGGCTCTTTGGCCCCTTGAGTGTGGCTCTTCCACAAGATACCATATGCGGGCGTGCACGTACGGTGTGATTGAAACTTCATGGCCCATGTGCAGAAGTCGGTATTTTGTGGAAGAGCCACACTCAAGGGGCCAAAGAGCCGCATGTGGCTCGCGAGCCGCAGTTTGCCGGCCACTGGTCTAGCCTGCCTTTAGCACCATCAACCTTATCATTTGGTTACTCACTATGGTGTGAACTCTAAGGGCTGGATGGGAACTTTAAGAAACCAGCCAGTTGCCCCCCTGAATTTTGTGGATACGAAGACTGACTGAAGAGAAGCTGCTGAAAGGCACAGAGAGTGCCATTGGCAGGGCTTTATTCCCTGACCGCTGGGCCTTTGACTAGTTCCATTTCACTCTAATGTTGTTTCCTTTCTCCAGGAAGATTGAAAACGTTTCTGCAAGCAAGGGAAGGGTCTTTCATTGAATGTGCAGTGACCCTCCCCTCCAACCTCCTACCCTCGGCCTAGGACTAAGAACACAGTACATACGTGTCAGGTCAAAATAACCCGAGGTTTTATAAAATATCATTTTATTCCCCCGCAAATGTATTTTCTTAAAGAACGGCAAGCTTTTCTCCTGTATATAACCTCTCAGAAATAAAGATGACTACATCTAAGTCACAGGAAAAAGGAATTCTACAGAGACCTTCTGCGGAAGTATTTTCAACAGTAGAGTGAATAGCAGCCAACTGAGTCTTACACATTTAAATGGCGGTGATGAAAATTACCACCTTAGCAGCACAGAGGAAAACAGGAAAGGTTTCTACTAAGGGGAGTAATTAAATTCTTAGAGAGAACTGGAAAATAACCCCCTAAAAAACAAACAAAAAATCAACAAAATAGGGAAACTTATTTATCACCCATTCCCATAAATACATTTTTCTCCTTGGAGAAAAAAATGTGTAAGCAATTGTTGACAATTAAAAAAGGCTAGGTTAAGCATGCAATGACAGAACAAGACTTTATATTGGAAAAGGAGAGCTGACTGACTAGTATTCTGCGTTTTAGAGGCAGAACAGTAGAAGCAGATGAAGTGCAGGCCTGGAGCAAACTGATTCTGGACCGGAGTCTTGGCAGCGCTGCGGAGCAGCTGTGTTACTTGGGGTAAATGCCTGAATCCCTCAAATCCTGGTCTCCGCAGCTTCGAAGTGAGGATCTGTAACAATACTTCCCAAACTATAAACTTGTGAGGGTGTGATGAAGGAACACAGGAAAAGTGCTCACCACAGGATCAGGCTAAATCCAAGCTGTCAGTAAATGACAGCTATTGTTGCAATGATTTCTATCTACTAAGCTTTAAATTTATTTCTGAAATAATGGAAAGACCATTTAGTCTTGTGATGTCAATTTTTACTTCCTCAGAAGAAATAAGAGAACTACTTCATAATACAGAAAAGAACTTCCATGGAATAGGAATCTTCACACTTAATTGCTGGCCAATTTTAAACAATAAGTAAAAGCTTTTAGATATGCTATGTGGGGCTTTTAAATTGTGTAAACAAGTCTGTAGTTGCAAGTACAGACTTAATTTAAGCTTGAGCTCCTTAATTACTTAATCTATCCTTCCTTCCTTCCTTCCTTCCTTCCTTCCTTCCTTCCTTCCTTCCTTCCTTCCTCCCTCCCTCCCTCCCTCCCTCCCTCCCTCCCTTCCTTCCTTCCTTCCTTCCTATCTTTTCTTTCCTTCCTCTGTCTTTCCTTTCTCCCTCCCTTTAACAAGATGTTCAAAGGCAAGTATTTGGGGTTGTGTGACAGTATAAGATAGCTATAGAGAGAGTGTCAAGCATCTAAGTGTTACGGAAAAGTCTGAGAAGGGAAATTTCAGCAACTTGGTTTCCAACCCTGGCTCTTACTAGGTATGAGATGTCAGGCAAGCCACTTAACTATCTCTCATCTGTAAAATAAGGGGCTTGGTAGATGATTACTGAGATTTTCTCCAGTTTTAGATACTGGATTGCATTTTTATTTTTGGAAAGTCACAGCAGACATCCAATTAAAATATGTTGTTAAGAATGATTTTGTCTTAAAATGTTTTTAAAAAATTGATTTCAGAGAGAGGAAGTGAAGACAGAGATAGAAACATCAACGATGAAAAAGAATCATCAGTCGACCGCCTCCTGCATGCCCCCTACTGGGGATCAAGCCTGCAGCAACCCGGACATGTGCCCTGACTGGAATCAAACCTGGACCTCCTGGTTCATGGGTCCATGCTCAACCATTGAACCACACTGGCCAGGCTGATCTTGTGTTTTTAATAGAAAGTTCAATCTCTGAGAAAAGAGTGAAACGTCATTCAACTTTAAAACGATATTTTACATTTGGAATAGATCTTTTGGTCCAAGCATTTTGCCCCTTTAGTCCCCAAGCCAGAGCTGGCTTTATGGGTGCAGGACCCTACACTTAGAAGGGCTCCATGATTGATTTAATGCTCCACTATTGCCGTCTTGAAATTCTTAATGTTTGAACAAAAGGCCCTGTGTTTTTGTTTTACACTGGGCTCTGCAAATTATATAGCTGGTTCTGGCTATAACTTACAATTTACAGTGTAAGTTCTAAGCACGGGACTCTCTCCTTTTTTTGGTGAGAAGCCTACACCGACCTCTTTCCTCTGCAGCCGTTCTCAGTTTTTATGTTGGTATAAAACTGCTTCACCAGCCAGGCTGCAGGATGTGAGGACAACTGTGCACAGGACACACAGCGCCTGCCTTTGACTTCAAAGGGCAGAGGCTCCAACACTAGGCCCAGCCACCTGCAGGGCTAGAGCCTCTGTCAGCGGCAATTCCCACATGAGTGCAAATGTTTGCAAGGGTCTAGTAGACTGCATGGAGGACTCAGAGAGAAGATAAGAAGTCCTTTGAAAATTAAACGCTGTCCTCAGGCCAAGGAAGTGCTCCGTTCTGTAAACACCCCCAGTGCCCACCCCATGGCCTTATTGGCGTTCGTAAGTATTTTCTCAAGGCCTGACCACCCTGCTACATAAGTCTCTAAAGTGAAATAAGAAATAACTACTCAGAGAAAGGATCCGTGCGAGATCAGTGCTTGGGATGATGATTCAACCAGAAAAATCACTTTTGACCCCTTAGTGTGTGCTGTCATTAAGCCAGGCGCGGAGGGCCCAGCAGGAAGCAAACTTAATGAAGATGAGCTAATTCCAATTTGTCCCTGAGGCCTGGCCTTCATGGGTTTACTCCCAGCCTGTGAAATGGGGATACTGTCATAGAGCTGATATGAGGATATAAGGAGATAATAAGTGACTAAGCACTAGAAGAAATACTTTGTGTAAGTATTTGCAAGGCATAATGTAGCACATAATTTTTTTAAAAAGGCAATTTATTCCTGGAGATATGTACAGGTCCCCCCCTCCCCCCCTCAATAGGAGTAGCTTAAATGGAAGCAGAGATAGGAAGAAATTTAAATGATTTGCGTTCTCTCAATTTTCAAACAGTGGAATTTGACATCCAGAGCAGCACCCAGGGAAATGCCAGCTGAATAGAGATGCCACTAGAGAAAAAAGAGCGTGCCCACGCCCATGCTAGCCATGTCTGCATCCAGAGCTTCCCGACCCGCTGTTTTCCTTTTCCCACGCCCGCCTGGTACCAGAGCAGGGGAGGGTAAGCTGACTCAGCCCCCGCCCTGGGCTCCCGCGCAGTCAGTCCTCGCAGTTGCGGTAAAACCCGCTCGGAAAGGAAGCGGGCGAGGCGAGAGGGGGCGGGGCCGGGACGCTGTGGGCGGGGCAGAGGGGCGGGGCCTTTCCGAATCGGGCCGTTGAAGCTGTGACCACACGGAAAACAAGCAAGCGAGGGGCGGGGCCAGGCTGCGGTGGGCGGTCGGGGGCGGGGCCACGTACTGGCTTCGCGCGGTGCAGGCGGAGCCCGCGGCTGGGCGCGGAGACGCCAGGCGGAGTCCAGGTGGGTGGGGCTGGAGGGGCGGGTCCAGGGCGGGGTTCGCCGCGCGCGGGGGCCGAGCCTGGCCAGTCCGCGCGCCCGCCAGCTCCGGAGCGGCGCGGTCTGCCGGATCCCGGGACGCGGTGCTCGGGGGAGAGGGCGAAGGGACGCGGCGATGGCCTCGCGGGGATTCCCGGATTTCGCCGTCCTCGCCGCCGCGGTCTTTGTGGCAGGCACCGTGAGCTCGCCGCTCGTGGGCCCTGGTGAGTTTCCCGTCGGGGCTGGGGCTCGCCGGAGGAGCGAGGGATCGAGACCGCCGCCCCGCGGCGCCCCGCGCAGCTCCAGTCCGGGCTCAGCCCCCGGCGCCGGCGCTGCACTCCGGGCTGTCCCGGGCGGCCGCGGCGCGTGGCGCTGGCTGGGTCCCCGCTTCGCGCCGGCGCGGCTCCCGCCTTCACTCCTCTCGCCGGCTCCTCTGAGGACCTGTTACCCCCGTCCCCGCCTCTGAGTGGTCCCCGGTGCAGGGACCCGGCCGGGTCTTGCCTTCCTCTGGGGCGCCTCCTCCGGGCAGGCACCCGGAGCCCCGCGAACCCTTTGGCTGCCGCCCTCGCCCTCCAAGGCTCCGCGAGCGGAAGATCGTGACAGCGGAGACCCGGTGCGCTATCGCCGTCCTCCCCCTCGCCCCCCCCCCCCCCCCCGCGGCCCTTTTCTAGTTTAAAACCTTGGGCCGAGTTTCAATGTCTTCACTTTCCAAGTTTTAACTTATTTTAGTGGTTGGTGAGTTCTTGTAACAGGTTGGGGGATTTCAGAGGTCTTCTGACATATCCTGTATAAATCAGGCTTGGAAAAAGGGAAGACGCGTTCGTGAACGTAACAGGTTTTGTTGTTGTATTTTTTTTTTCTTGAGAGGATTCCTGTCACCACAAAAGGAACCTTCTGGGGTCAGAGCAGGAAGCCGCCCGCGGAGCTGATAAAAGTGTTGCCGCCAATGATGAGCTTAGAGCAGGAATTTTTAATGGAAACCTAAGAGGATCTGTCACTTGTCCTGTCGCAAACTCTTGTTTTTATATAACTGTAGGCACCGGGGATGCCTTGCCACCATATTCCCCCTCTTAATGGCCACCTCGCTGAGTGGTTTAAAAATAATAATAAGCGCATGTATACCTTCTTGGCCAATTGGGGTTTCCACGACCTGGAATCTGACGTCAGCAAGCGCTTCTCAGCTTGAGCAGCTCCTCTCCAGGTCCCGGTAATAAGCATCTGGACGCCTTCCAGCTGTGACCGTCTCCTCCATAGAAACACACGCGCTGTTCTTCACAACGGAGAAGAGTCCAATGACAGCTTTTAAACCGGCTTGTCACTCTGGCCTTTACTTTTTCACAGAAACCAGAACATGTTAGGAAGGAAGCAGGGTGGATAGTGTATCTCCCCGGAGTCTGTATTAGCAGACCTGTATTTCCCTCGGCCATCCTTCAGGGGGACCTGGCTGCTAGTGAGTGCGTTATGTATTGGCTGGGAGATTTTGGTTGGTCGCCTGTGTTTCATTGCTGAGACAGGTAGGTGCCTTACCAGGTTCAAAGGGGGACCTGAGGGTGCCAGTCCTGAGAGATAACAGAGCCAGTTGCTCCAGAATTTGAAGAGTTTCACCGGGGCGTAAAATTCAGCACCTGATGCATGTAATCCTCCATCCACACGAGAAATCCACCCCCTCGAGTAAGATTGTGTTTCCATGGATCTCTGAGCAGCACCCGGGAACATAAGAAAACTCTCACCTAAATTGCACAGTAACCTTTTGGATGAAAGGGAACACTCGGGAAGCATAAGGTATCTAAAAAGGGAAGGGAACAGAGTACAGATTTGCCAGGGTGCCCTGAGGCCTGGCCAGTCAACAGCGGTGGCCACCCGCTGGCATCTAGGGCAGTGTTCATGTTTGTTGGGAATGTGAGGACGTAGGGAGAAAGAAATGGGAAGTCATGTTGCGTGCCTGCGACATGCCGGGCTTCCAGTTGTGCACTTCATATGCATTTTTATACTTATTGCTCAGAGGCCTAGGAAGTTGTAGTTTCCAGTGAGGCAGTGGAGGCCCAGAGCAGTTAAACAATTGGCCCAGCGTCACATAGCTAATATATCAGTCAGCATTTAATCAGAGGAGCAGAATCACTGGGAGGTGTGTGAGTGTTTATCTCTATGTATCTCTATCTTTGATAACCTAGCCAGTTTACTTCCAAAGTTCATTCATTCTCTTTGCACTGTACCCACAGGTCCCCCAGAGAGAAAATAGAGCAGAAGTCTTGTTGAGATTGTAAGACAGGGAGTTGAGGACTTTTTAAAATTGTAGGCATGGGCTTATCAGAAGGTGGGAAGCAGAGGAAAGTAGAACAGGGAACTTCACAGTGGGTAGTGGCAATGTCTTTCACTTCCTGCCTAGTAGGTGAATCTCATTAAATTTCTGTCTTCTCAGTAGCAGCATTTGAAACTATATACGGCAAGCAGCAGAAGGGATGATTTTCCACATCTTGGCTTATTTATGTCCTTCAGTTCTCTGGTTACTCAGCCTTTGGGTTTATTTGTTTCTCTACCAGACAGTGAGCACAGCCTCCTAGTAAGGAGTGAGTGGCGAAGGGCCAGGGGCTGGTGCATGAGAAGTGCCCTGTCCCTGGGCTCTGAGGGCTGCCTTCCAGCCTCCTCTCTCCTCATTGAGATGCTAAAGATAAGCTTTATTAAATTCTGTTTCTCCTTTGGCCAGGTAGCTACCCAGATGTACATAAACATCAGTAGACAGAATATTTTGAAAAAGCACCCCTTGGAGTTGGGGCTTTCCAAGTCCAAATTTAATTTAAAGAGGAAATGGAAAAATTTGAGAAGTGCTTGTTATTCCCTCTCTTCCCCTCTTTCCACCCTGGCCTCCCAGATAAATCAATCAATCTATTTGGGAGTAATTGAATTTGAATGAGAGAGGTCAAATCTCTATAGAAGCAAAAATTTTCATTGTTACTTTTCAAAAAATTGTTTGGCTCTGATATTGAAGTTTAATTATATATTGAGAAGTTATTTAAAACTGACAAAAGTGATTTAAATTGTCATTGATTAAAACTATTATGTTGAGTGGTTTCTAATTTTTTTAGGGCACTTCAGCAGTTGGTAAAAATTTGATAGGTTGCTGAAAGCAGGTGGAATAAGGAGTGTGGTGTGGCTACCAAAGACTAAAATTGGAGTATGGAGTTAATTCATTGTAGGCACCCTTTTTAGAGGAAGGAATGCCATGTTTATTATTTCTGTTTTGTGACAGGTTCTGGTCTGTGTACTCAGGTTATTTAATTCTTACAACATCCTGTCCTATACTAAATACTAGAATAATTTTTTTAGATTTATTGATTTTAGAGAGAGAAACATCAATTTGTTGTTTCACTTACTCATGCATTCATTGGTTGATCCTTTAAGTACTAGAATAATTTAAATATTCATTTTTTTTATAGATGAAGAGATTTTGTCTCTGAGAAGTTAGCTTGAAAATGTCACTTATAAAGTATATGATTGTCTAACCACTATTCTATACACCTGAAACTAATACACAATAATATTGAATGTAAACTGTACTTGAAAAGTAAAATAAAAATAAAAAGTCACTCAATTATGCTAAGTGAAATAAGCCAGTCAGGGAAAGACAAGTATCACATGATCTCATATGTGGAATCTAATGAACAACATAAACTGACAAACAAAATAGACCCAGAGACACTGAATCATGCAACAGACTGACGTATTTCAGAGGGAAGAGGTGGGGGTGGGAAGAGATTAATCAAAGAATGTATATATATGTCCCATGGACACTGACAATAGTGCGGTAAAGGCCTGGGGAAAGGGTTGAGGGGGTTAGTGGGGGAAAAAAGGGACAGCTGTAATACTTTCAATAATAAAGGTTTTTAAAAAAGAAAAGAAAAAGTCACTCAAATGTATGTTGGGTTTTGACCTTGGTTAGATCTATTCAATTCTGAAGCCTGTTCTTATTATAGTACTAAATCATTTTGTTTTTCTTTCAAGTGAGACATTTCTTTTTATTCTAAGATTTATAAAAGAAGCACTAAGGGTAATGGCAGGATACAGTGGAAAGAGCATCAAGTTCTAAGTCAGAGACCTAGACTTGAAGTCAAAAGTGAATAAGAGCCCCTACCACTTTCAGGAGTGTGGCTCTCTGCCTCCATTTTCTTACCTGTAAAATGGGCCTGTGCCAACTCCTATTTTTACCTACCTTATTGGTTGCCAGTAGGGATCAAATGAGCTATTGTCTCTGAAAGGTCTTAGCAAATGGCAAAGTGGCATATACCTTTTAGCCTGTGTATCTTTTTTTCTGTATTTCTTCCACAAAGTGCTCATCAGGTTGGACTTATATTACACTGTCAGTCAAACTATCTAATAAATGTATACCACTCATATTGTAAGCCTTTCATTCTTTAAGTGGTGATGGTTTTGCAATGATGGGTTCATTGGAAATATATAAAAGCCCAAAGTGATGCTTCAGATTCATGAGTTTGCTGCCACTGACTGGGAGTTAAGTAGCCAAGTCTTTTCCCATTTTCCCTCTGCTAAAATACAGTGCTCTGGGTATTCTTGGAAAGTTCCCCACAAGATTTAAAGTTTGGAGGGAGGGGGTCTCATTACTTCAAGGCACTGGCCACTGTTAGTCTATGTTACTCTGGTCTCTATATATAGTATTTTTTACTTGGATAGGATCATAATGCAAATATAATTTTGTGTCCTATGTTTTTCACTTAATGTTTGTTATACACGAAGGTTCTCCATTTCCCTACATTTAAAAAATGGCTGCATCATAATCTATTGTAAGGATTCACTGCATTTTACCTCATTGTGCCTCCATTTTAGGATATTTTATTATATTTTTTTGTCAATCCTCATCCGGCGATATTTTTCCATTGATTTTTAGGGACAGTGGAAAAGAGAGGGAAAGACAGAGAAACATTGATGTGAGAGAAACACATCAATTGGTTGCCTCCTGCATGAGCTCCGACCAGGGCCTGGGCTGGGGAAGAGCCTGCAACCAAGGTACGTGCGTGCCCTTGACCAGAATTGAACCTGGATCCTTTGGGCTGCAGGCTGACCCTCTATCCATTGAGCCAAACTGGCCAGGGCATTAGGCTATTTTAGTTGTTGCTAATTATTTTCAAACTAGAGGCCCGGTGCATGAAATTCGTGCACTTGAGGTGGGGAGGTCCCTCAGCCCAGCCTGTGCCCTCTTGCAGTCCGGGAC